AGTTACCTTGCCAGTCACTTAGTCAGTGGGGCTTACGCTGGCGAAAATTCAGCACGATTTGAATAGCCCTTGTAGCCTAATTGTTACTCCTCAAAGCATGTATCATTGATTTATTTTTTGTTTAATTTATCGTAGCCTTTAAAAGAAGATTTTTTAGTGATATTTAGTGATAGATTTTTAGTGATTTTTAGTAATAAAGCAGATATTTAGTGATAAAATTTAAAATACCCTTAAATTATGGATTAATACGAAATAAGCCGGAAACATGTCCAGAGGTGGGGCATATGAACACACGTACAGCCGAATTCAATACTACGTATTATAAAATGTAGACGACTTTGGAAAATAGATTACCCTGTCTTTTTTAATACTAAAGATTCTTTTTAATAATAAACTATTTATGCAAATTATTTAGCAATAATTATATTTCGTTTAATAAATAAATAAATATCCAAGTAATTCGAGTCGTTCAAAAATGAAAAAGCCATAGAATACTTTCCATAGACGTGTCGATCATTCTCCAAAATTGCCTAAGGCACCCGTAAAACGTTGCTGACTCAGGACCATTCTTTGGTTATATAACTCAGATTGTATATGTTAAAAAATTGCAAAAATGGAAATGTGAATGGACGTACTGGTAAAAGAAAAATGTCTAAAATTCCACACGTCTTATTTTTCTTTAGGCAGAGATGCACGAAATGTATGATTACACGGCCAGTGGTCAGTAGCTCCACCCAATATCTGAACGTACCCTTACTACAAATAACTATGACTTATACCACACTGACCTCTTAGTCGATTTGCTGGCTCGTATTGGATTGTTACTATAAACGAATGCATTATGTGGTCAATATTCTTTCACAGTTGATCTCAGAAAAGCAGAAGGTAGAAAACCAACTTGTAGTTTTCATTAACATCTCATACTACAGTTCCTTATTATTAAGAAACACACTAATCACTAATGCTTATATGCTTAACTTCATTCTGTACAATATTATTGTAGTTTAAGCAACTTCTTTAATTTCGGGTAATACAAGTAGACACAGGCAAATAATATTGCCACATTCGTAATCGGCAATGGTTGTCCACTACTATATAAATAAACCTAGTTACAAATACATTTATCTATATAGACGCTTATATGCCTTTCTTCATTTTAAAACACCCTGCCGTAGAAAAAATAAATTCGTACAAAAAAGTACATTCGAAATTTACTAACGATTTTCCTAGACCATATTGACCTTTCCTTCTTTTAAACTACTTCTGACTTCTGAAAATAGAAACAAGTTCTACGAGATTCGGCCGTAGATGTGGATGGAATATAAAGAGAATTGGAAATTTTAGCATCTACAGCGTGACGCGGCTTATTTAAGAATTTCTCTTATCTTTGGTTTCTAAGACTATCTGTGAACAAAAACAGATCTTTCAACTAAATTACATACACTTCCTAACAGTCGCACCTATTCGATATAACCATTCCTCATCGCGTTTACAGATTTGGAAACGTAAGTTACAAATGTGTCTATTTTAAAGTATTTTTTTTTAAATCTGAAAATAACTTTAAACAGTAACCGTGTATCAAGCGATATTGGTAGGTCTAAAGTCGCTCAGATGCCTACACACGAACAATTCCAACGTTGTTCAATTTTGGGCCGATAACAGACCAAAGTTCCAAAAATGCAAGAGCTCAGGACAGCAGAAAGTTCAAAAGGTACGCAAAAATGTCAAATATTTAAAAAAGAATAATCGTTCAACCTTATCTGGACGAACCGATTGGCGATATCATCCTCTCTAAAACAGCCATTTCTGTACCACGAAGCTAGATGTATTGAAAACGGCTTCTTGGGTAATTTTGAAGAATTTTAATATAAAGATAACATAAAGAATATTACGGGTTTCTTCATGAAAGTCTTCTGAGAGTTGTTTTGAAACTGCATGAAAACTGGCAATACCGTAAACTGTCGGCTTCGGGCAAACAAGAAAGTTTCCAGTTCCGGTGGGGTTCATCCAACATAAACAGACTGAATAACAGCTGATCTTCGCTCGAATCCCGGAAACGACGTACTGTTGTTTGCCATAACGAGCTTATTGCTTTGTTCTAAAAAGAATTGGCTTTCGTCTGCTGCTAGGAGTTACGGATGAACGTATGCCTGTTACGATAAACAGTGCCCACTAGAGGTTTACCCAATTTGAACGTACCACCTTGTATAATGTACTCGCTTTTTTGTGTGAGCCGATATGTCGCAGTAGTGGAAAACCCATGAGTTATTCCTTTAGAGCCTTAACCATCCTCTCTGCTCTTCAAGTAGAGGCTGGTGCCCCTAATGACCACCAATCCGTATTCGATTAAAGTGTCGCATTGGCTAGCTCGGTATTTTCGTCAACTCCTTTTTATTAATGATGAAGTTACCCTAAAATAGAAGCCATCGTCGGTATATTTCCGTTGTTCCTTTTGACTGAAAATTCTTTTAACTCTGCTTAAAAACAGCCTTTTCTCCAGCGTCTGTAACATTGGACGTAACCTATTCACCATCTTAAAACAAAACCTAAGGCCTGCTCAAACGTTTTCGTGCATGCCTGCTACTTCGATAAACATCATTTATTGCAGTCATTCCTTCATAGTACATATAGGATATATATAATAGGACCACAACACTGACAGCTACGTATGGGATGAATTACATTCACTATTTTTTTCTGCCATTTGGCAAATGATACAAATCTGGATTAGCTCTCGCAGAAAAATAGTGGTGATTTGTTTCTGGCATAAGTCTCAGTAACCTTCTAATGCAGTCTAAAGTAGCGAATAAGCCTACAGAAATTGCAAGCTCAAAGTCATTTTTCTTACTCAGGTAAGAATGCTCATTAGCATACGACGATTTCGGTTTTTGTCGTTATGTGTTGAGAAAAAGCCCCATTTAAGCAACGCCGATGTGCAACAAATCGGGTTAGTTAATAATTTTTTTGTCTTTTAAGCCTTAGCTAGTGCAGCGAAAGAGTACGCAAAGAACTACTAAATACCTGTTGCTGAAAAATAATTTTATACTTACCTAATGTTTCTGTAAAATTCGCGCACTTTTGGCTCCATACAAATAATGCCGAATTAAAAAAGCACTTCCAAGTAACGTTATCGTATTCTAAAGAGTGACGTCGACACAGAAAAGTTCGATACAGATGGCAGAATTGTTTAGTTGAACTCTTGTTGTTTAATCGGTATAAGGTAAATGAGTGAAATTGCCCCTTTCGGATCGCCAATAGAGTTTAATTTTCACAATTTAACCTCAAACTTCCGACTTTTTTGAGTGTTTATTAGCGTTTATTAAGTGACTTCGTATTTTCTATTATATGTCTTCAAGCATAACTATTCTTAAATAAAATTAACACGTTACTCTTCATGAAACAAATGTCGAATCACAATAACTTCGCCGCGGTGTATTCGCCAGATTATCATGATCTACATATTGATGTATACGGGCTTCTTCTAATATAGAGTAATCCATTTTTCGTATCAAATGCAGTCGTGTTAAATGAAGGACTGCAACTTGTGCCTAGAGAGACTTAACCGCTTATGTTTAGGCCAGCGGTAGTTTAAAATGTCGAGACGGGGATCGCGCGATCAATGCCAAAGCAAGCCAAGGGACTTTCTAAATCGTTCGCAGAGACACTAAAGTATTTCGATACATGGGGTATTGTAGCATTGCGCAGAACTTATGTGCACAGTGTGTGTGCATATAATACAACGAATTCTAAGTATTTTATGCGCATTCCGGTAAGTATGACTATATTAATGACTAATAAGTTTACGACAAGCATGTTACCAAAAAAAAAACAATACAATGAGCATAATACTATGCAGTGTTAGCCAATATATGAGAAATTAAGAAACTGCCACCGAATGATTCGTCACATTATCCAGGAAGAATTTCGAACGTAGGGAACATCGGAGATAGATATTCTTCAACACTTGCAACAAGACAATATTCTTCGACACTACCACAGCGCCACTATCCAGACCATCACTGTTCATTGAAGGCTTATTGTGACTTTCAAGTTGACGAAATCGAAATGGAACAGGAAGGGAAAACGCCTGACTTCGGCCGTTAATTATTTACAACATAAGCCATATATATTCGTATGTAAAAAAAAACCATCAGCTTGTGACTAGATTTGTGGCCGATGCTGACCACCACACAGAATGTCCAGGAACAGAATGTCCACGTTCGTTCCATAGAGCGAGCCTTGATTCGAGGGTCGTGACCGTGCGTTACGAAGTGGATTCATCTAATGGTACATAGTTTGAAATTAAGTAGAATATTGTCGGTCGTAGGTCAAGTGTTGCTCCTTAATAGGCCATTTCTTCAAGAAAATTGAAAAATGTTAACATTGCCGTCGTCATAATCAGTTGTGTTTCTGTCTTTTCTGCAGCAGCTACAAAAACAATATCTCAATAAACAAGCAAAATACGAATGATTCTCCTTCTCTTATTGTCGTCAGCGGACGCAATAAATGAACAGTAGAGACTTTAATGATCGACGAGACCGATAAACCAGGTTTTTAATGAAACCCAGTAACATTGGTTAACAGTTAATTATGGATGTTTGCACGAATCTAACACAGCCATACTTTCGCACTTATTTTAGAAATTGCTAATAACATTTCTCACCGGTCAGAAAGTTTACAAGAAGTATTTCTAGCACAAAATACTGTCATTGTGCGACGATTTATAAGCATAAAGACAGTGGTAATTTCCAATGCAATTAGCATTTTCATAGTTACTATTATCTTGTTATATGTACGCCGAATTTGAGCCACAAATAATCAAAACAATGTCTCACCGCAAGTTGGCTCGTGTGTGAGTGTATAAAGATCGTATACGACTTAGTGTTCGCTACGAATTTAATAGTCGGTAGAATCCAGAAGAGTTCGCAAGGTATTCGCTACTGACGCAAAAGCAAACGCTATTTTCTGTGCTTTGATTTATATACAGTTGATCAACTCACTTTTGACGACCCGTTCGGTGGTATTGGTTGAGGTCTGTTTGCTGCTAGAAGCCTGTGCGGTCGAGCAAGAGGGGGTCGATGAGCCCCCGGAGTTGGAGGTGGCGTTACTTGACATGTTTCTTTACGGTGTTATAATGGTATTTTTCAATCTGGCGTCAGCTGTTAATAGAAGGTCACAATAAACTGTCGAGGAATGGATACACTATACTGCTGCTGCTACTGTAACTCTTTATAAGATGGTGACCGTGTAACGGTTGTTTGAAGTAGAACACTCACAGTCCCGGGCGGCTCGACCATCAACTGATACGGCCTTTACTTCACACCGTGGCTAGTTAATTACTTTACTATTTGTTATGACTATTAACAATCTCCACTAATTGGAGTATCCACTGTTTCGACTAGATTTTAGATTCTTCTTCGTTTTCTTGCGTCTGTAATTAGTTGGACACACGTTGGATCGTCGTCGGGTGAACTGAACACAACTGAAGAACGCAGTCACTTTCAATATTATTATTATTAATCTAGATGTAATGATACAATGTTAGTTTCAGATATCTCTTCCTTCTGTTCTGGTCGATGCTTTCGTAGTCGAGATTTGGAGTTAGTTATAATAACTATCATCAATACAGTGTAATTGTTATTTCTTCAATAGCTTTTCAGTTGGGGATTTGTTTCTTCGTTTACACCTTTTCCGTTATATTTTATTATACAACAACAACCTACTAGCGGTGATGGTAGTTCGGTCTTCAAGATCCCTGCTGATTCTGCCTTTACTCTTTTACACAAAGAGACACGCGCGTACACAACACACCCACAGAGCGACGGTAGTTCCACTAACATCAGCAGCATAACAACAATCTCCAGCAACACCAGTCTACTGCTACTTGTTCCTATCGTCCAAAGCAACGAATGACAACGACCAGCGTCGGCGAGCGTGTACGGCTCTATAACAACAACAACAACAACAATAACACGACGACGACGCTCTTTAGACCAGCGTCCAGCTTGCCTGCCTGTCTGTCTAGCGTCTTTCCACCACCGCCGCCGCCGCCGCCGCCGCCGCCGTCAGGCCGCCACTCGGCTGTTGCTGTTCGCTCAGTCACTGGAGACGACAGTACTCGGTGGAGACAGATTCACCGACGGCTGCTAACGGCTGCTTTATTTCTTTCTCAGTTGGCTGCTGTGGCAGCCACTTGCCAACTTCGGGGCTGCTTTTTCGGCTGCTACAGGCGGCACTACCGCTGCCGCCGTCAGCACCAGTACCGTTGCTGAAACTGCCGTCGTCGTCGTCCGTCAGCTGCCTGTTTGTTGCTCGATCGCGCACCAACAACGAGAACCAGCGCCACTAACCACTGCACGACCACGCTATGGGGGCTCGACTAGTCGTCGTCGTTGTCTACTGCAGGCCCATTGCAGGCCGCAAAGACGACGACGCTAGTGATGCCGCAGTTGCTGCTGCTGCCTCCGAGACGGCAGACTCACTTACCCGCTCGCTCACTAGCGCAGCAGTGTGGAGACACTGCTGGATGAAGATTACTGCTGCGGCAACCAGCGCTGTTGGTGTTGACAGCGGCCTCAGCGGTGCTCAGTGGCTCGTCTTTCTTTTTTGTTTACTAGCTTGATAGCTAAGTAACTAGCCAAATGCATGGTGAAAAAGGAAAGGTTACTGTCAGTACGGGCCGTGTATCTTTATCTACCCGCACTTTTGTTCGAGAAGCTCAAGAACGAGACTCTTAGAAGTAGCAGGACACGCACGCCCAAATAGATATACAGGCGCTCACGTACTGTTTTCCCGTGGAGGCCACCCGTCGTTGGCTCTTTTCTTTGCGACTGGAACAAGAGAGACAGGAAAACACTTTCTCTCACAATCGTCTTCTCTTTCTTGAGCTATTTTGCCATTTTTATCTTTCTTTATGGCTGTCTCACGGCAAAGGTCTGTCTCGCTGGTGCCGGCTCTCAGACGTGCCTTCGACTGCTTTCCTGTCTTTGGCACCAACGTTCTCCTGCCGAGGGTGCGCGTCGCTGACTCGTACGCCGACCGCTTTTGGTCAGCGGCCAGCAGCGGCCAGTAATTAGACTGAATTCCTTGACAAACTCTTCGACGATAGCCGAAAGCTGGTGGTCTCTGAGACAAGCACTTGCTAACCGTCAGATTCTGCAATACCTTAAAGCAGTGATGGCGCGGCCGCGCTCAAAACGGTCACAGCTGCCGCCACTGAGGTGTTTCCCGCTGCTAGTAACAATAATGATGAGAACTGTGTATAATTCGTCGGTACAGTTGCTCCTCTACGAACTGCTGCTAACAGTAATATTAGTAGTACCGCTGTCGTTGTTTCTTGTTACAGCCGCTTTCATACAGTCATAGTAGACGCAGGCCACAATTGGCCGGCTGGCATTGATAAACAATCGCGGGATTTGCTGGTTGGTACTGGTTATTGGTTGTAGCTAGATCACTAGTAATTGCGCATACGATCGGTACTATTATAGCGCAATGCAATTCCGCATCTCTATTACGTTGCTGTTGTTGTTGTTGTTGTTGTTGTTGTTGCCCACGGTTGTCGCCCGATTGTGCGGTTACTTCCTTACAGCATCACGCATGCTTTATGTTTACTGGTTGTCATTTTCGTTCTTTTCGCCTGTAATAAGCTTTTTCCTTTATGAATTAGGATTTAGTAGCTGGATCAAGCAGGAAGGGCTCAAAATTTAAGTTGAAGAATCGTCAACATCCTTCTTACAGCTGCGAAGCTATGCGGCGGAACAATAAAGTCGGTGAGGCAACTGATACAACGGGATACGAAGATCGGGATAGAAAGATGACAAGCTTCTTTTCTATTTTTAAAATATATTTGAATCAATACCGCTGGAATTAGTGGCGGTAGTACTTCTTCCTTTGGCCGCTCTGGTGTCTCGCTTCTTGTAGCGCCTCGATCCCCTCAACAGCAGGAACACGACGGCGATTGATGTTCTGCACTTTCCGCCCTGTCCAAAGTGGACCCGCAAGTGCTGGATCGAAATGTCACTATTTTTCTGTGCGTGTTCGTCTTTCTCTTGTTAGTTGCACTACTGCTACTGTTGTTGTTTTGATTGTAATTTGCTACAACACAGAGTGGCTATTATTATAGGTGACCGTCTAAAGCAGTGTGAATATTGAGATACCGCTGAGCGACAAACGAACAAAACGCGCGCGAGCACACAGACATCCAGAATACATTGACAGACAGTCGTCTGACCAATTTAGGTACATATAGGAATTGTAGTAAATGACGAACGGACAGTCTCATAAATCGACACGCGCACTATCGGCGAGAAGGACATTCGAGTAGACACCCCAGCGACGGGGGCGGCAACAGAAGCGACAGCTGAGTTGACGTATACCGCTGTTATTGGGTGTCTAATTTTTCGAAAAAACGGAATTGATCAGTGGACTGATGTGTGATGCGAACAAGCGCAGAGGCCCTTAGCTCTGTCCTCTTCCGAACGTCAGCTGCTAATATTATTGCTAGCTATTGATGTGACAATGTTTCCCTTTTGGAAAATTATTATCATTAGCGGTAATTTTAGAGTTGTTCTTTCTTCCACTGCTGCTGCTACTGTTTCTAGCCTTCTTAGGAGACAACAGGTTAGGTGAGATTTTTGTGGAGATCGTCGGCTAGTTGCTGCATATATTTTCTGTTGCTGATTGTTGTTTCTGTCGTATGGACACTACCTTCCATGCGAACCGTAAGCCGTTTGTCTTTCGTTAGTAGGACTCACCAGTGCGCAGTGTATCGCTGTTCTACCTGTTTGTATTATCGACTATATACGTTGGCATCTCGTTTGATCTGTTCTTTCATTGTCCATATGCTTGCGCGTTTTTTGATGAATTGACTAGTAAAGTATTTCGAAAACTACTGAACACTGGTATTTCTTTGTTACCCTATTTCGGTTGTATCCACGGCACTATATAGAATTGCCCGGTAGCAGAATAAATTGACGAAGTCCAGATGCAGACAGGCCTATCAGATATTCTAGTGTAGGTAATACTAGAAGTGTCTTGTAGAAGGTTTTTCGGTTGAACCACGACGGGGCGAAGAAAAATCACTTATTGTTAATTGTTGTTTCGGCAGAGGCTGTTATTGCTGTGGCGATAGTATTGTTGCTGTTCTTACTGCCTTTTGCCGTAGTATAATTCGGAGTGGAGTTTTCAGCGGGTCTGCCACGGTCAGCGCCGTTATCATTTCAGCTCACTCCCACCGAAAGCGCGATTGGCTCACTAAATTGAGACGCTGCTGCTGGTTATGCCTATCGGCCGACAGGCTGTGTGGTCTAGCTCGTTGTCGCTACCTCCAGCTACTAGAAAATATTTTACCTGTTACCACCATCTTTAGAGCTATAATAACCTGACGCAAACGAATATCGCCGCAGGACACCTGCAGCAGGCCCCAGTTGCTGTTGCTGTTTCGTCTTACCTCTACTGCTAAAGTGGCTAGCGTGATTGAGGTACAATCTACAGAGGGACAGCTCCACGACGTACACGTGAAACGTTGCACGGTACCAGCGGTATTGAAGATAATGCCAGAAGCAATTCTCGCTCTGCTGTTGCTGCTGCAACGGGTTATAGTGAAAACTGCAGCGACGATAGTGGGGATAGTCAGCGCCCTTACCGCTTCGTACCCAGTCGCTCGCTCGTTGTAGTTCGCGGAACACTGTTGTTGTTTTCGTTCCGTACTACTGAGCACAGACGTCCAAAGATAGACGCAGACTTCACCAATAAATACTCGGCAGTACACTCTTAATTCAAATTTCGCGGGCACTAGCGGATTCGCGACTTCGCCAGTAACGGTTACAACAGCAACAGTTTACATAATAGAGTGGAAGGTAATGACGACGTTGGCAGTACTGACAGTCATCTCTTTGTTTTAGCTGATACTTGTGACGATCAACGGATTAGTTGTCCGTACTTGCTCACTGTGGCTAAATATTGTAAAGAGACAGAGGAAATATACTGGCCGTCTAAATTGAATCACCACACCAATTAATATCGTCCCATTATTATTTTTATCATTATCATTGGCTGCGGCCGATAAATAATAGCGGTGTTTGTTTTCGTTGGTGATAAGAACGCTTCTGAATGCACGGTCGTTTATTATAGCTCATAAAGCCGTCGCAAGAAGCTCGTAACGGGAACAACTGCAATCGCCACGATGATATAAATGCTGATTGTCCAGTTGAGGGTTGCTTGTGCTGCAGTGTTTAGCTAGAGGACTGCCGACGGTTGACGACTGCGAACTGCTCCCTAGACAGCTGTAGATTGCCTTGATTCAGCTCAGCTCGTTTTGGTATTGTTGACGGTCCTGACGATGACGATAGCAACAGCTACCGCTGTTTTGCTGCTAATTCGACTTCTGCAGCCGTTGTTGTTCTAAACTGCCAGGGATGTTTGCTGCTACTGCTGCTGCCTATCAGTTCGTTCGTTTGTTCATGGGTCCATCGGTCCGTCCTGCTTACGTTCACTACAACTAACACCAGCTTCAACTGCTGGCAGTGGCCGCAGCGGCGTATAGGCTCTCTATTGTCGTACTAGTGCAAACTGATGACGCGATCAGGTTGTTTTCGGCGATCCTACTCTCGCGCAGAGTAATCTGAGCGCCACCCCTTTACCTTTAAACGACACACAGATCACTGCTGCTGCTGCTATTGATGTTTGGGGGGGTGGCTGGTCTCCGGGGGAGCTAGCACCTTCCGTTGCCGCTACGGCTGTTCCACTAGTCGCAGTGATGACTCCGTCACACTCAGCACAGACACCATAAATGATAGATACATATGTAATAATAATTGTTGTTCTACTCGTAATAGTAGCGGTACACGCAAGTGATTGAAGCCCACAGTCGTCGTCGTCGTCAGTGTTCTTTCCAACCGCTGATGCTGCGCCTGCTCTGACTGCCGTTTCACTGCTGTCTAGCAGCTCCCTCACTCATACTCACAACAGCGCAGTCTCACAGGTCACACAGACGATCTTCCAGTCGCGTGAGTGACGACGACGACGACAATCCGACCGTCTGTTTATCTGTTCGTCTTTGTCTGTGTGTGTCTATGTTCCTGACTGGTCGCTGCCGTTGCAGCATCCAGCCTGGCTCCCTGGCTGCCTGCTTTCAGCCCGGCTAACTGGCTCTTGGCTGCCTTTCTGTCTGTTCGTCTGCCTGCCTGCCTGCTCACTTCCTTTCTCGGTGGCTTGCCTGTTCGGTGCCTAGCCTGGCTCCTGCCTGTTTTCAGCCTACCTGGATCTCTGTGGCTCTCCTATCCGCCTTGTCAGCCACCCGCTCGTTGCTCGCCGTCACTTCTCTCGGCTCAACCAAGTGCAGCGGGACCCAGCGCCGTCTGTTTGCCCGTCCATCCGCCTGTCTGTCTGTCCGACCGCCCTCCCGTCGGTCGGTCTCTTGCTTGCTTGCTTGCTTGGCTCACTGGACGCGCGGTTTCGATCTGTGTTGTGGCTATGACGGTTGTGTGTTCCCGCCGTCGCCGCCGCCGCTGTTGCTGCCACTGCAGCAGCTAAAGTCTTTGCTGCGTCTCTGTCTACTGCCGCGAAATTGTGTCTGTCTATCCGTCTGCACGCTTATTTGCCTGGCTTAGCGTGTGTTTGTGTGTGTGCGGACACTGGCATGTAGAAAGACTGTGGTGAGTTCGTGTGGTGTCACTCCCTCCGGATGTTCCTGTGTTGTGCGAGAGTCCGCTGTTTGTTGTGTATTTGAGTGTGAGCGTGTTGTATGCGTTTATCTGTTTCTCCGCGCCTCTATGATTAGCGTATGTGTGTGTGTGAGTGTGTGTATGGTATTGTTGCTGCTGGGAATATGGGTGACTATATCAGGACACTGTCTGTTGGGTCCTCGGTTGTTCCTCTATATTCATGCGTGTCCGACTATGTCTGTCTCGTAGCTCTTTCCATACGTCTTTATGCGTCCAATGCGCGTTGCCTATACTACATTAAAGAGGACCATTCCTTTCCAAGGGATCAGTCAACCTACAGCTGAGAGTTAGAGTTGACTGTGCCAATAGCCAAGCTCGCGGTGTGTCTTGTATGTTGAATGCTGGATACTTATAAAGAGTATCCGCACGGTGAAGTGTGCACGTCCTTCGAATACCAATGCCTGTGGGAAGTGTATGGCTATGTGTGTGTCTGTGTAAGTTTGCTGCGGGTTTGTAGCGAGAGGACCTGACGGACGCGGTGTGACTATCCAATGCCAGCCGTTGTCGATGGAGGAAAGGAGAAACGTGCGACGCGCCAGTACCACACGACGTACCACAGACGAACAGCGAATGAACCACAACCAACGACAACGACAGCAATAGTGCCATGTATTTTCTGACCGACGTTGCGGTGTGGTGGCGAGAATAAGGAATAGCAGCAGCCATCGGATCAGCCGAGAGCGACGACGTAATGTGTACAGTCACTACCATTGACCAAATCATTAGGGCATCACAGCTGGCGTGTATCAACATACAACGGGACATCCACGCACAAGTCCGCCGTTGCCGCCTGCATACAAAAGTCGCGCGATATGAAGTCGAAAAATATGTTCGCTACTACCGTTATAAGTCTTTTTTAAGAACAACGATGAACGTTATTGAGTATAGCACGAAACTTTGTATAACAAGACGGCCACTGTGTACCTCACATTCAAGTGACTGACCGAATGCTCCTCTACTTTGAAGGGAATGTCCACATACGACATGTGTTGGTTTCAAGTTCAAACAGATTAGAGCACTCCATAGGTGAAGAGCGCAGAAGTAAATATTTAAAGAAGAACAAGCAATTTTAAGTTGGTCACAAGCGAAAAAAAGCACACGAATAATAGAACTTGGCAGACTGCCTGTGCACACCCCTATATATATAGTAAGCAAATATTGCAACACACGATAGTGCTTTGTTTTTAAGTGCAGAATAGACATTAGAAAATACTCCTTCTAATCAAAAGCTAAAAAATAAGTTACAGCCTTGACACAGTAGTTTCTATTCGACTGAAATGGTGACATTTCTTTCGTGGCGCCTCGAAATTTACGATGCATACACGAGAATTTTGCGTTACTACAGTAATTTTATATATTTGTTTGTTTATACCATTTGGTTGTAATGTGCTATCGTTGGTATTATTTAACGCCAATTTGGTTTCGAACGTTGTGCGTTTTATATATATATATATATAGTAATCGCTATAGATGTTGTAAAATTGGCTTTTAGTAAGTCTGGTTAGGTGTAGAACGTTTCTAGGCTTGTGTTTATTTGTAATTTTTTGGCTATTCTGGGATAGTCGTTATTTCGTAATCATTTTCGTTAATGAATTGAAAGGATAAAACTTCATTCCATTATCTAAACATGCGAATGTTATCCCTAGCTGTATTATAATATGCTCGTCATAAGTCTGTATGAACACCTTCAGATCATAGCTATACGGTACGTGGCCGAGTTTCTAGTCTGCAATTGCCCTTGTGAGGACATTTTTGTCCAGTTTGGACCAAAGCGAGTCTCTCCATTATGCAGGTTCCTTCCAGGGTTTCATGGAATCGACTCGAACGTTAACATTTATCAACTTGTAAGTTTGTTAGTGTCAACGTTCGCGCGACTGATAGTTCGAACACGTCCGCACTACCGGTACATAACAGGATTCTTTTTGTTCCCTCCCTCTCGTCCTGTAGCAGAACGCAACAGAGCCAGCCATTTCACCCAGGGTTGGCTGGACTTCTCCTAGAAGAGAACAGCTAACCAGCGGAAGTCCAAATCGCTTCTACAGTGGTCAGAAAGGGGAAAGAAATTAGCCTATGCTTCTGTGTTGAGCATCAGCGTATAATCATCCAGCAGGGTGTCGATACTTTGTGCTCAAACGTTTGTTAGTTAGATTGTCCATTCAGACCTGCTTCCTCCCATTAGTTTTTCTCAGGTTCATGCTAATGACTCCTCGACGATTGTTGATGAGTAGACCAGCGTGTCTGCTCATCGGTTTTTTTCGCTAAATTTGAGCTATAGCAATACACCGCTGCAGGGTTCTTCCGATGCCGCTATCGTTAAATGGTAACGGCAGAAGTGCCGGAACACCTAAAGTTTCGAGGTCACTTGTATTAATCTTCTACGCAATAGACGCTTCTACAACGGAGAACCTTGTTTGTTTGTCAGCAGGGTAAATCCTGCCCATATCTCAACCCCAACAGCCGCAGCGGATTTCAACTTTCGACCTCAAAGCTCTATGGACTATCTGCTTTCCTGTTAATAGTTGCGTACCTCTTACGACTAGTAACTTCTTTCGATTACTGCAAAAGCCTCGTAATCATATCTGTGTCAACAATAACAGCGAAGGGCGCACCAAAATCAAATCCGTTTCGACGTTTTTACTCACCTTTTGGCAGCCATAATTGTACCCGCAAGCTCATACATCGTTGTTGATCAAATAAGGAGCATAGATGGCCGGTGTTTTGTCTTCTTTTTTCATTTGACAGCTTAAAGCCAATTATGTGTAACAGTTAAGCGTTACACATACTTGGCTTTTCCTTAAATTGTTTAACGTTCCTTGAATTATTTGTATTTATGCATTATATATTTAAGTTAATTCCAACATAACGTAGTTATCATTAATGAGTCAAACATACATCTTGAAAAATATCAAGCGCATTAATAAGCTAGCGAAATACTTATTGGGAATCGCAGCTAATACGTCCTTTCTGGGTTGTTCATACTGATATAGTTTGGTATACAAAGTAGTCCATGTAAGCTTGAATTTCTTAATATAAATACTTTCTACTATAAAAAAAGATAATTTTACGAATTTTGTATGATCTGAGAGTTTCATTTCTGTTGGTCGCTGTTTAGTCCATATACTCACCAGTTACAACTATTTTTCAATTCAAGGCCTAAATCACTAACTTTCAAATAGCATAATAGGCGATATTCAAAAAAATCTAACGATGTTACACTTTCGGCTAATAATAGATCAAAGGTCCTAAAAATGCAGGGGGTAAAAGCGGCGAAAAAGTCTAAACCTGTTAAAGTTAAAATTCAAAACTGTTAAAGCTTGTTTAGACATATTCTTATCTCTTAAATTGGCTGTCAGTTTCTGTAGTAAAAGCTACGTGAATCAAAAAGAGCTTTTATAACCATTTTGTTAAATTTTTGAGACTTTCAAACCTAAATCTTATTGAATATCTTCCGGTTTGTCTTATGGAAATCGTACTCGAATTTTTCAGAAATCGCATAAAAACTTGCAATAAATTAGACGGTAAATTTCGGGCAAATAAAAGAAATTGTTGATCTCGTTGGAGATTCGTGACGCCTAAAAAGATTAGATAATAGCTAATTTTTGCCTAAATTGCGAAAGCAATTTACTGATTTCTGCTATAATGAGTTCATTGTTTTACTTCAGAAAGAATTGACTTTTTCCTATTAAGAATAATGAATAAACGTTTGCCTACTGTGTGTTTAGAATAGTGTAAAAATACAGTAAAGATATAATAACGTGATAAACATTCAACTTCGTTTGAACCCAGTACTTTGACCCATATTTTGGGTGTCCTCGGTGCATCTATTCATTTTTTTCTCAACCATTTTAGTGTTTTTATTATTGATATTTAAGCTGTATTTGATAAACAATATTCCCACAGTTCCCCAGATGCTACCAAACATTAGTGTGCAAATATCTAAGTGTGACCTTTAGTTACCTACTACTTACGGCTTTGGCGTAGCTCCTCTTCTGATTTAAGAATCGCAGTATTATCTATTACCACAGCGGCCATCTGGACAATATTTTACGACGGAGAACTGCACTTAGTAACCGTAATACTTAATGCCGTCAACAGCAGATCTTGCTGCGTATGAATTTTCAGGAACCCCGCCGCTTTCAGCGAACAGCTGTGTCCGCCCTGATCACGTCACAGTTAACCTAGGAGCGTTGAGAAAAGGGTTACAAAGGTACATCCCTATGCTACATACATAAATATATAAGTAAGCAATTTATTGTACTCTCGGTACAAATGCAATGCATTTCTGAGCTGTTTCATTTATATATATATAAAATACTAGTTCTGCATGCCGTAACACTCGTTCGCGTCACTTGCGCATAGGTCTCAACACACAGCTTAAGGCGTTCGCGTTTCTAGCTAGTTTATATTCAAAAGTGCGAACTCTATAAATACGCGATGCGATGATAGTTGAATAACGGTCGTTCAGGGTTTGCTATAACAGACTTGACAGATCATCAATCACCAACATTCACCCGAACGCTCCGATGCTTGTTAATTTGCTGAGAATTAACTGCTGAAGCTACATCTTTAGCGTCGTCTAAAATTACTTCGGATTTGATTGGCAATTCAACGTATTCCAACAGGAATCGTTTCTCCTGCATAACAAGGCTTTAGGTTCTCGTAGACGTGTTGCAGTACGCTGCTTCGTGCGGTCGTGCTCTCTGTAAAAGCTCCAATAAACGAGATTTCAATGC